TTCCCCAACCTTAATTTGAATTTTGGAGAAATAGTTTCCTCTTTTGGCATTTACATGCTTGTATTTGTGATGCAGGCACTTTAGTATCTTATTATGCAGCTTCTTATGTTCAAGTGAAACTCATCTGATTATAGATGTCATTCAATAGGTGGTTTTCGGGTGACAGGAAGAATCTCTACTCTGTGTTCTTTGTTGGATCCCATCAGTGGAGAGTTAACAGTTGAAACATCAGCAGTTCCCGTTTCCTCCATCGACATACACTTGCTCCGTGTAGAGTCAATTCTAATGGGAGAGAAAATTGTGACGGAAACTTCTTTGATTCAGACCACACAGGCATGATATGTTCCCTATCTTGCCAAAGTACTTTGACTTTTACAATGTTTTGGATTTAAACTTCTGTTTTTTCTCTGGTGTTTGTCAGATAGCGGATGGAGATGTCTGTCGAAATCTGACTTTGCCTATCTACGTTATCCTCCCTCGCCTTTTGACTTGTCCAAGTGTCTTTGCTGGGTGAGTTGCAAACTTCTCCTGACTCTTGTTTTTATCTTGTATTTTTGGATCTGCATGAAAATGGAAGACACTGGTACTTATCTTTAAAAGGGGATTATAGTGATGTTAAAAAAATTTACATAGTGGCTCAATGAGTTAGATGCATAAGCACTTCATTGACATTTTAATTTACGAAAGGACATGAATTCCATCTTGGCTGGTAAAATCTGCCTATTGGTTCTATGACTTCACATGCTCTATTTGTAGTTTTAAATTTTCCTCAAGCATCCTCTTTCATTCTATCTTAAAGGGTTTGATTCTGCCAATGGAAAGGAAATTTTAGTAATTCATGTAGGGGGAGAATTGTTTGATACAAGATGGGAAAGCTATGCAAACCCCACTGAGAATTTTTTTTCTCTTCAAATTGAAACAAAAAGTCTCTTTAAACTCAAATCCAGCGTCTGCTAAAAATATTACAATTGTATCTTTTTTTGCAAGCTATTCTTGTGAACTCTTGCCCCCCCCTAGCAGTATCACTGCTTTATGATTAGGTTTGCTCACACATCTGATTGTTCTTAAATGCTAGCGTTTTATGCCTTGTGGTTATTGTCAGTCTTTTTTTTTTAAAATCTCTTTGCAGTCCATTTTCAATCGAGTTCAAAGTGTCCATAGTCATCAGCTTTCAGTCAGAACTGCCCAAATTGCATAAAAAATCTGATCCAAGAACTCCAAGACTTTGGGTAAGCATTTCTCTGAATTTCATTGTAGAGGAAACCTATTTGTTTGCATCTAAACTGTCTTTTCAAATTTCAGCTGGCAGTGGAAACTTTACCGCTTGAACTTGTCCGAACAAGATGAGGTGATCGGAAAGACAATATTTGGATAACTTTGTGTATAAAACGTCAGAATACAGTAGTATTTTTTATTACATATTTATATCTGCTATTATATCTGTTGCCTACCCGTATGTGATTGGTGCACTCAACACAGGCATGCAAGGGCCAAAGATTTGTAAGATATTATGATGCATTTTCAATCCTCCGAATTCAAATCGTCTTCATGTTAGCATATTGATAATTTTAATGATGCAGAAGGTTTAACATGCCTCTGCTAAGCACTCAATCCATCGTTTGGTTATTTTTAAAAAATAAATCTAACTGAACTTTTTCTAAACATTTGTTTTTTTTTTTTGTGATATATTTTTTTATTGTAAAATTGATTTTTTTAAATTTAATTTTTACATAATTTTCACGATGCAATTAAGTCATGAAATTCAAGTCAATCAAATATGTTTTATTTTTTAAAAAAGCAAAATTGAAGTGTTTTTAAGTATCTTGTTTATTTTAAATTGATATTCATATATATTTAGTTTTAGTTTTGGTTTTTGGTTTCTTTTTATATGTTTTTTTTTTTTTTAAATCCAAGCCATTATTATCGGTCTTTCAATTTATTGGATTTAAGGATACTGTAAATTTTTTTCTTCTAAAATCTTCACATTTTTCTTTGTTTGAAAAATGAATTGGTATTGCTTATAGCGAAACAAGAGTAAAAGGACTTGTATCTTAACTAGCAGGCCAACCCCTTCAACATAATAATTCAACTGCTAGTCTGACCATTTTCAAAACTTGCCGAGGTTAGTAACTCTAATGAATATACTGTGATAAAAAAAAAAAAAAAAAGCTAGAAGAAGAAGTATTGGGCAAGAAAAAGTGATCGATGCAAGCAATATATATAGATATAAAGAAGCATTTTAAGATTATAGGCAAGTGATTTCATGATGATAGACGTTCTTCTACAACTAATAATTCAAGTAAGCTTTGTTGTCATACAGCCAGCAAACCATGCGCGCGCTTGCGCTTGCATGAAAATTAAAATTACCTACTCGACAGTGCTTCCATTAATTTCCAAATGATAGTGAGGTGCTATTAATGGTGGCTAAACAAGTACTTCCGGCAAATGCCATTTCATTTACAGCCCATCTGACGTCAGAAACCGGCACCGGAAATTGATAGAAGCTCGCAACTCTTTCACCATCGATCGGAAACCAATCCTAGAAATAATGACGAGTGTGACCTACATTTGACCCCTTAATTTCCACCATCAAACCATACCCAAAGTGTTCATAAAACATGGGTTTTACTAACGCCATTAACAGACATGTGAAAGAAGTAGAATTTGATATGCAAGCATCGCTTGTTCCCTCGTTGCTTAACAAGCAGAGAATGAGAATCATCGAGTCTTAGGCTACAGAACCGATAATAACTCTCCTCATTGACCCTTTTTTTTTATCCACAGCATGAGCATTTCTAAAGAGTCCATAAAGCAGCTAAGAGAACTAACTTACAATCCAGCACACTATTGCGTTCACTGTCCAAGACTAGCTTATATATAGTCAAAACATCAAGAACATCATGTACAAGATTAATGCAATTAAGAGCATAATATGTTTTAGACTGTGAAATTCAAACATGGGGACGGCAACAAAAATCCCCGGAGATATAACAAATGCGGCATGAAACGAAAAACAAAATTTAACAAGCCTAACATATTACACTTTATCAAGCCAACGTAGATTGTAAAATTTCCGTGCAAGCCTGCTGTACTGTCAAATTTTCTTCATTATCAGAAAATTCTTCTGCTTGTCAATGTGTATTGCTGTCGATGTTCATGGACTTGGGGGCAAATTGAAAGCATTCACCATTTGTGTTAAGAAAGAAAGCAAGTAGATTGGTGCAGTTGGTTAATGAGATGAGAAAAGTCATGTCAGGCCAACGGAAATTGGATAACACCCCTGAACTATTTGGTGAGACCAAAGATTGGTTTCTCTGTATCTTAACTCCTTCCTTAATTTGAAGCCTGTCAGGTTAATTTGAAGCTCACTGTTAACCATAAATTTTGCAGTAGAGAAAACGTAAAAGGCAAGACGGCAATTTTTTGTTTTTTGGTAAACTGGTATGCCTTTTTCTTCATTGTGCAGAACTGGTCACATTATAAGATATTTATAGGCACGAAAGTCTTGATTGCTAGAGCTTTGTATCAAGGAAATTTTCTCCATATATAATTAAAGATCCCTCAACTTTAGGGACCTGCACTGACATTTCTGCGGATATAATTTCTGCATTTAAGTTAATTGGTTTAAATTATAGGTAAAATTGCAAGAAAATCAAAGTTTTACAGTAAAAATTCACAGCTAAGAACATTTTTTAAAGAAGCGCCAAACTCTGAAGACTAATTTGATCAAAATTAGGGGTGGAATCGAAAAGATTTGAAAGTTTAATGGTCAATTAAGGGTCAAATTGCATAAATTTGATTAAATTCTTAAATTAAAACCCTAAAGCCACAAAATGATGCCATTTTATAGATAGTATAAAAAAAGACTAGGCGAGCAATGTTGTTAGTTTGACAATGAATCTTGGTCCCCATAGATATACTCTTTGTATACCAAGGCTGTGTGGACTACTACCGTCATTTCTTTTTTATGGGTTGATTATTTCTGTACGACATCGTTCAACTTTTGACTCTCAAAAACAATCAGATGTCTCTTTTTTACCAGTACTACCCCAATGGCCTTATCTGAAGCATTAGTATGAATTTCGAATGGCTTCTTAAAATTTAGTAGCCCCAAGACTGGAGCTGATGCTACCACTGTTTTCAGCTTTTCAAATGCCTATTGACAATCAACTCATCATTCCCATCTCTAATTCTTCTTTAGAAGATTTGAGAGATAAGTTGTTTTCTTATTATAACCCTCAATGAATCGTTTATAATAGTTTGCAAACCTTGAAAAAGATCTCAATTCCATGATTGTTTCCGGTGCTAACCATTTAACGATAGCTTAAATATTCCGTGGATTCATCTTCACATGTCCCTCCCTAATAAAATAACCTACAAATATAATCTCATCTTTTGCAAACTCATATTTCTCTCTCTTTACATACAATTCATATTCCCTCAATCTACTTAGAACATTAGAAAGATGAATTGCATGATTTTTAATTCCTCTATTATAGACTACAATGTCATCTAAGTAGACTATAACAAAGTTATATAAGAAATCATACAAAACATCATTTATGAGATTACAAAAAAATGTTGGAGCATTTGTTAGGTCGAGTGGCATAACTAAAAACTCATAGGAGTTATACCTTGTCACACAAGTAGTATTAAGCTCGTCACTCTCAGTAATCCGCACTTGTCAATATCCGGATCGCAAGTCCAATGTTGTTATGATAGAGGCTCCATACAATCCGTCTATCAAATCCTAAATTAAAAGAACTGAATATTTATTTTTATGGTTACCATGTTAAGTGCTCGATAGCTCACACACATATGAAGGCTCTCATCTACCTTCTTTTGAAAGAGGACTAAAGCATTATATGGAGCCTTGAAAAAGCAGATAAACTCATTTCTTAGATAGTGTGCTTTCGAGCCCAATGTCTTTTCCTTTTGAGCTCTTATCTTCTAGATTGTATGTTTTTAAGCCTTATCCTGTCATCCTTCAAGACTTTTGTGGCCAAAACATTTTGTCAGGTAAGTCATATTTTTCACCTGAACAAGTGCCCATTATAATGAGATCACTTTGAAAGATTTTTATATTTTTTAATTAGATAAGTCGCCCAATACAATGAGACTACTGAAAAAACCTTTGCTTTTTTATCTGAGCAGGTCACCTATGAAAATTTATCTATTTAAAATTTTTTTGAATTTTACCATTTGATAGGTTGCTTGGTATAAATATACACACCACTTCAAAAAATCATTTAGCTTTCATAAAGATCATTTTTTTCTTTATAAATCCTATCTCTTTTCTTTTGAGTATGCTTTTCAATCCTTGTATTCAAGACAGTATGTATGATTTTCAGCCCTATCTCTTGTTTTTCGAATGCGTTTTTTAGCCATCGTCTCTCAAATAATGCATTTTTAACCCTATCTTTTTTTTTTGTATAAATTTCAAATAATGAATGTTAATATAAATTAAATTTAAAGGCTCACCACTTTTTTTCTATAGAATAGATCGAAAGACTCAACTAGAAAAAAAAGAAAGCTTTAATTTTTTTTTGGTACAATAATCATAAGATTAAGCTTGATAGCCCATCACTTAAATATCTTTTGTCCACAAATATCCCACTCCTAATTAGGATAAATTTAAGAGGCTTAAAAACAATCATAAACTTGTTCTTTCAAATATTAGAAGTATGAACCACATTGTTTATAGCCATCTATTTCATGGAGTAATCTTTAGCACCACATTTATATGGCTTATAATTTTGCATAATGTTACTAACACTAGATTAAACCTTATATTATCTCAATAACATGATAAACATTACAAATATATATTACATTAAAAAATAATATAATTAAATTAAATCACAAAATACATCACATGTCGATGAAGAAGAATTTAATTTAATAAAGAAATGTAATGATTAAATAAACATCTTCCCATCTTATTTTCTATATTTATATATTATTATTGTAAAAAAGCTCTAAAATATTTTGGGTTTAGCAAGAGCATTTTATCTTTTACCTTTGATCTATTTTTAAAATATGTATAAGTATTATAAAGTGTGTATTCAAATCGTACAACGCATGGTTAACTCCTAGAGATGCCTTTTTCTAATTTTGGCAAATAAATTAACAACAAATAATTAATGTCACAAATCATGAAAATTAACGATAATTAAACTATACATTAACTTTTAGTAAACAAATAAATACATTTCAGTTTCTAAGCATTTTAGTGTCTTTTAAGGTTATACTATTTATATTTTTTTTTTAAATATCAAATCAACATACATAATTCCATTTCAAATAAAAAAATAAATTAAGATGAAATTATGCAATTCAAATTTCAAACATAATTTTAAATTTTAAACATTTCTATTTAGTAATTACTAGATCGTTGGTTTGTATTACACCACGAGTCAGATCAATTTTTTTAACATAAAAAGAAACATCCAAGTGTAGCTAATATTTTTCTAGTAGAAAAAAATTAAATTATATGGGAGTTGACTTGACGTGACTTGATTGACTTGATGAGTCTAAAAATAACCTAAACGATTTATAAAAATATAGTTTAAATTAATTAAATTCAAGATGACATCCTTTTAT